ATTTGTTCAATGTTCACTTTAGAGAGGTGTTCAGTATACGCGAGGGCCCCCTTGTGTTGTAGTCTAGGAGACGCGCCGGTTCCGTAACGACCGTTCAATGTACAACAGTTTCGATTTACGTGAGTGTTCAAAGTCACAGGTTTTACTGTACAAGTCTATGGAAGATAAAAGTGTTTCAAGGCGGCCACCTCGATCATTGATGACGCACAGTATTCTGTAGAATTAGAACAGAAGAATTAGAATAATAATTAATAAAGTTAGAATTAGAATTATTAATTGTTATTATTATTAATTAGTCTGTATTAGTAGAGTTTTTTCTGCAAGCTGCTATAAACACCCAAAAAATGCTCAGTGTCACTCCACCTTGTTAACCGCACTGCTCGTTACTATTCACTTAAAGGTTTCGATTTTGGGACTTCTGAATCGCCCATAAAAAGTTACACCGGAAGCTGCAAAACGAAACACGAGACGACACAATTAATTTATCTCACAATTGTCCGAACTTGGCGTAGCTGGGCTGGCTTTATACTCGCTTCCTCGTTAATTAAATGACAGAATAAAATAACTGAATTATGGTACAAAAAAAAACACTTCAAAGCGTTCATAAGCCCATCAGTACTCATTATGCTAACCGCCGAAGGCGCGTACCCCTTTGTAAAACTAACACATGATAATAATAAAGTATTTTTTATTAAGTATTTATTGGGCATTTTTTAAGCTCCCTATATTTTGACACTCGGTGCTGACTGCTGATAAGTATAAGTATAAGTATATGTAAGTATAAGCTACGGCAGTTGTTCATGGAAATAATTACATCCAAATGATCCAACAACATTACACCACTACTTGCACTGCTCCGTAACTTACCGGGGCACACAGGCGCCCTCCAAATTCAAAAATTTTTTGTTTTTTGTAAAAAGGCAGCATAGTAATATAGTATGCGTAAAAAATATTTTCAGCTGCTATCGTCAAGGGGGCGTACATACAGTACACATAGTACACTTAGTACACCTAGTACCGTAGTACCTACCGGTAGTAGTTCATACAGTACACCTAGTAGCCGTGTCAGACAATGCAAAATATTTCATTTCAAATTTCAGTACGAGTACAATTTTTGGACTTTCGGTAGCCAACTTTCTCGGTAGATATATCTAGCAGCCAGCGCGCTAATTCTGTGCGGACTAGCGTGAGCCACTCAGCATCTCCGCAGTATGCATGACTGCAGAAGTAGCGATACCTCTTCATCACTTCGTGCACATCGGTTTGTGGAAACGTGGAATGCTGTTGTTATCCGCGTAGTAAACAACACTAGGAGTCGCATCATGGATCTGAGTTACTGGGAATTGACATAATAAAATAGCATTTACAAAAAGAAGAATAGTAATAGTCATGGCGGTGGCGGAAAGCCGTGCTCTGTTTTGTGCTTGCTAGTCAGTGGTCAGTAATATGGACTATCTATAGAAGTATAGGCCGGTAATATGCTCAGAACTTTCGCGCATTCTGAGCTGCTTACATTAATAATTTATTTTTTGAATTTTTGTCTCCTGTAACTCCCAAAACCAATGTTTCGCGCTCGAACACCTGAATTTCGTACAAATTAACTTACAGCGCAAAAGCGTGTTGGGTGGTGCGCAGAAGCTCTCGTTCAAGTACAGTACTCGCGCTACAGTACGGCCGTTTCTGTGCAGTTCCCGTTGATAACTAATGAGGAAGAAGGTGTAAACAACACACATAAATTAGACGGCTACAAAATGCCATTGCTAAACCATTCAAAAAACTTTAATAAATTTTCGGTCGATAATTTGAACTTTATTGAACTTTCACGTGATCATTGAATTTTTTTGACAGTACTGGCAGTACTTTACCTAAAGTACTGACTTATCATCGATTTACGGATTCACGGCATCTGGGAATTTTACAAAGTACTGGCAGTACAGTACTTGCAATTTTAGGCTTTTAAAATGGCGGACTTTGAATGCTCTAATTGTACGGTTTAATAGTTAGATACTAAGCACATTAAGTTATAATAATGATTAGGAGCACTATCACAATAACTGTACAAGCTCATTGAGACAAATGGAGAGCATCCGAAATCCTGATCGAGACGATTAGTATTCAACGGCAACCTCTAAGCTGCTCCCAGTGGAGTTGTTAAAACAGACACGATAAAACGAAATTTGATGGTTCATCGGTGGCCGTCATCGACTTTAGTGAACATGTTCGCAATTGCATAGCTGAATTTTGGGTAATTCGCTATGTTAGCCAACGCCTGTGCGATCTGTAAAATGTGCACAGCAGTTGGTCAGCGAATGTTAGTCAGTTAATCAGTTCAAAAGTCATTGGGAAAGCAAGGGCAAGAGCAAGATCGATTTCAGAACATTTAGATCTTTTGGAAGGTCATCTATGCATAACTGGTCGTTTCGTACAAGCACTGTACACATTTAGATATTTCTGGTTTAACTAGCACCAGTGAGGTACAGAATACAGATACACATCTTCATTACCAATCTCATTTTTACAGCTACAATCATAATTACATTGGGACGGCGAGCACGGACAAGCACGGGCGTTGGCAGCGTGCACGGGTGACCTCTATGGGTCCGCACGGGTGCTGGCTGCGTGTACGGGAAGTCGCCATGGGTTTTCGCTGTTGTACACAGATACAAGACAAACGGCATCTCTTTTCCCTCGCTTCAGTACTGCAGCCGCAAAACCGGTTTAGATGCTAAATGGCTGAATCCAATGTGTCACGTGTGCGCTCACACACGGCAGCGATGCAGCAGGGGGAAGAGATAAACGGTACTAAAGCGAGGGGAAAGAGATGGCGTTTGCCTTGTATTGTAGCAGTGCCGTATGACAGTGTACTAACTAAATTTTTCGAGGTCGTTTTGAGAAAACATTTCCCGTCCCGCTGACTTCTAGACCCGAAAATGTGTAAATTTTCCAGGAACTTGTCCTTTTGATTAGCAGCTTTAAAGCTTTTCCCAGATCAGTCTGCAGCAAATATCGGTCAGGTGCTACATATGAGAAGCATAATTAATCGAACCACAATTGTTGGAACGTAATTATTGGAACTTTTTGCCCCCGTATCACCTCTACTCTGTACTAGTTCAGATACCGTTTTGAGGTTCGTTAATTTCAGTCTGTCCGTCGGGAACACTTCGTGAACTTTTGACATTATTTAACGTCGAAAACTTCTGCGCAGCGAAAACCTGAGAAAACATGCAAAACATAATTAAAACGCAAGAATAACCTAAAATACATAAGAAACCATAAGAAAAACTCTTTAGAAGCTCAAAAATCTGAAACTAGACCGACAAGCAAGCTGTTGGTCAACAAAACAGTTTCTGCAAAATTTCGGCAGCAAAACTGTTGAAAGCGAATTGTCGGTCAGCAGTCTGTCGGTCAGCAGGCTGGGTGAATCAGCAGTACTTCGCTTTTACCATTATTTCGAACGGTAGCACTGTACAATATAAAGTATGCGAAAGAAAGCGAAGTAAATTGACATGCTACTGCCAAAAATAAAACCCGTTCCGGAAACCCGTGCACTGCAGCCGAACCCCGTATAAACACCCGTGCACACAGCCAACGCCCGTGTTTTCCTTTTTTCCTTTGAAGGCAGCATTAACTAAGATTTATTATATTACTGAGCAAATGCAACCACCGTATTCTGTACTTACAAATGACTGAAATCCACATTACAGTACAAAAAAGGTGGGAAGGAAAAGTCAGTCCTCATTTTGTATTACTGAGCAGTGAGCAATGGCTGGCGTGGTTTCGGCTAAACAAAAATGGCTATCTGCTCACGGTCAGATCGCTGATTTTTGTTTCTCGTAAGCCACTTGTTGTATCGCAAATGGCTTAGACTCATTCAAAAGACAATTTTATAATTACTGAACTGAAACTAACAGATAACGATCAAAATAAGTAGATAAGGTGCGACCGCACACTGACCGTCCAATTTCCACTTAATTTATTGTAAACTACTTAATTTATTATGAACAAGCAAAACAAAATTTATAAAATAATATTAAAAGCACCGTATTCTGCTCGTGAGCAGTTTTTTCAACATTCTTTCCAATAGTACATAAACTGCCCAAACTGTGCAGTACTTTGCACAAAGTACTGACTTTTCACCGATTCACGGAATTAGGTATATGTGGATAGATACACAAACTGTGCAGTACTTTACACAAAGTACTGACTTTTCACCGATTCACGGAATTAGGTATATGTGGATAGATACAAACTGTGCAGTACTTTACACAAAGTACTGACTTTTCACCGATTCACGGAATTAGGTATATGTGGATAGATACACAAACTGTGCAGTGCTTTACACAAAGTACTGACTTTTCACCGATTCACGGAATTAGGTATATGTGGATAGATACACAAACTGTGCAGTACTTTACACAAAGTACTGACTTTTCACCGATTCACGGAATTAGGTATATGTGGATAGATACACAAACTGTGCAGTGCTTTACACAAAGTACTGACTTTTCACCGATTCACGGAATTAGGTATATGTGGATAGATACACAAACTGTGCAGTACTTTACACAAAGCACTGACTTTTCACCGATTCACGGAATTAGGTATATGTGGATAGATACATAAACTGTGCAGTGCTTTACACAAAGTACTGACTTTTCACCGATTCACGGAATTAGGTATATGTGGATAGATACATAAACTGTGCATTACTTTACACAAAGTACTGACTTTTCGCAAATTCACGGATTCAAGGCATGTGGGAAGTATAAACTACTGTGCAGTACTTTAAATAAAGTAAAGTGTAGAGAACAACAAGTTAGGTACAAGTTCGTACGATCAACTGCTGTGAACCCGTGCTTATTTTAATCGTACAATATTTCTTAGATTTTTAGTACAAATCGATGCCGTACAAGATTTCTTAAAAAATGAGAAACTCCTGCGCATAGCGTTGACCTTAATTTAGCGTTGAATAATTACGGTAAATTAACCGGTATAAATATTGTAGATACAATGGAGGCGACGCAGTGTTATCGCTGCCGTTACAATGCCAATCGCCGAAAATGCGCCGAATGTCTCTTCGGAGATAAACTGTACAGCGAACAGGAGAAGGACACCGTCGTGAGCCGATTGGTGAACGAGGTCCTTAACTGCAATCTGGATACGTATGTCACACTTGGCGAGACGCACTTCGAGCCGGTATTCCAAGCTAAACCTTGGCTGCGTATCAGGATGAATGACGCAGCCCGGAAACTCATAGCCGCTCGTGAACCACAGTGGTGCGATATGCCACTGCCTGCCGATTTGCCGTCGCAGCCTAATTACGTTGCGCCGATGCAGCTGCCGATCAGTTACCCTGCACCAGTGCAGATGCCGATGAATCAGGTAATTAATTCTGATTCTGAGACCGATACTTTTTCTTTGAGTGATTGGGAATGTATCCCACTAAATCGTAATATTCCCAGTCGGTGGGAAATAGACGCATTACAATTAACTGATAATATGCCGCAGGGATACACAACGAATTCCATGTCGCCGCAGCAGATGTTGCAGTACCAGCAATATCAGCAGTACCAGTCGACACAGTATCAGCCAGCGCAATATGCGCAATACCAGCAGCAAGCAGATGCCGCTTTTAATCAGCCGCAGTACCAATACTACCGACAGCAGAACGAACAGGTAAATAGCCTAATAATTCCTGCTTGCCGATTATGTATGACGCAGCCGTCTAATACACTGCTTTTACAGCAGGCGCCGAGTAGTGCTAGCAGTGCAGGGACTTCCGATCCTTGGCTGCATGAGCGCGAATACCGAGGACATACTGCACAACAGCAGTATCCCAGCCGAGCTGCATCACAGCAGCGTAAAGCCGAACCGCAACCCAGCACGTCGCGTGTACAGCCAGACGCGCGTGTCGGACTGTCGAAACAAGTAGGTAGTTTGTCTATCGACGACTCTAATACGTCGATTAAAGAGCCGTCCTCTACGGACAGTAGCCGATCTGTATTTGGTGCTCGTCACCGCATTGAATATACGCTAGAGCCGTCTGAAAACCACTCTCATTCTGGCAAAAATATCGTAGTTGCCGGGGGAGATCTGTCGAAATATGATAATAAAAAATCCGCTGATTTGCAGAGCCGTGGCAGACAGCGCGGAAGTCAGTCGAATATCCGTTCTGCTGGTTATCAGCAGCGCAGCGAACCGAGTAAACCACAGAATAATCAGCCGGCTGAATCTCAGCAACCGCCGCCGCGTGAGAGTAATTCTCGCGATAACCGTGGTGTTCGACGACCACGCCAGCCGACCATCGATCCTAACAGAATTCTGCGCGATGTGACGCAGTATACCAGCGACTTGGGTATTTATATACACAAGCTAGCTACCGTCGCCGATATAGCGAAGACAAATGCGCCGGAAATGTTGTGTTTCAAGAAAATGATCCAGAATGCCGTGGCATTTCTGGGGAAGATAGGACTGAGCGACCGAATGATGGAGTTTGATTACTCCACTGTCGATTTATCGCGTTCGTTGGAAATAATTACGTACGCGTCGAGCCGCCGTAATAACCTCCGTACAGTGCTGGATAAAAAGCATTTGTACACGCCGATCACTGCCGTCGATATTGAGATTATTTCTCAATTCAAAATTTATGGAGATCCGGTAACCGAAAAGTTCCTAATGCAGTTTATACTGCCACAAGCCGATCCTGCGAAGTTTTTCTTCTTCTGTAAAATCGCTCACTACCTGAATCAGGAACTGAATGAGCGGAACATTGACTGGATGCCGATTCCCTATAATACGGGATTAAAATTCGCCGCTATGAGTATCGCAGCCGCATTACTTGGTAGCCACAGCGCCCACAAGGCGATCTACCAAAGTAAGGAAAGAGCCGAATATGCCTTGTTAAAGGATTTAATCGAAATGCTAGGGAAGCCGCTCACCGAACAGCAGGAAGCACAGGTGTTGAAAGACACTCTGGCTGCTGCCGGTCATGTCGAAATGGACACTGACGAAGCCGATCGTTTTTACGATGACATTAATATCCGTATGAAGCGATACGGAGATCGTAAGACGCAGTTCGATAAGGGCCAGCTGTATAAAAAGCGACCGTTGCCCGATTCGCCAGACGCTCCTACGGGAAGTAAAACTGTACAGCCGGAGCCGAAATTCCGAAATAATCGGAGAAACCAGTCAGGTGATCCTGCAAAGCCGCAACTGGGAGTAATGGGCGGAAAACAGCCTGTCCAGCCGACAGCTCCCATTACACAGCCGATTATCATTCCAGTGGTGAAACCGAATTTGCCATTGGCAAAGTTCGGATCCGCGCCGTCGTTGTTGAACACGACGACTGTGAAATCATCCGGTACGAATACCGATAAGCAAGATAAAAATACCTTGCGATCGCCGGCCAATAATGGCGATAAAATTAATAATGAGCCGAATGTTGTAGATAATGTACGGAAACAGCAATTGCCGACTGTTCCCACGCCAGCCGAACCGATTGTTGCAGCTGATGTTGAACAACAGTCAGTAGTTATTACGCAGCCGACACAGGTAGGAACAGTGCCTGTGTTCCCGCCGACTTGTGAGACCTTCGACGAGAAGGAACTTGCGAAATTGCCGTTATCTCGGATGAATAAAGCCGTGATTTTTATGTTACGACACAGTCGTACCAAGATCATGTTGAGCCGTCGTCCAATGAGTATGTGGAAAACATGCTTGTTGAATTGAGAAAGAAGACGCTGAGACAGATGACCGATCATGAATATATGTTTTATATTCGATATGAAAATCCGGAGCGATTACCTGTTTGGACGGGTAGATCACCAGAAAAGCCGATTGCGCCGCAAGGCGATGAAGCCGACGTTTTCCACGAGACAGTGGAAGAGTTGCCGGTGCGACCAGCACTTTCTGAGGTACTTGGCGATGCTTTGAATGCAGTCGCCGCAGCCGAATCTGCTCCTGACACTGCCGGCGCTGACGCTGACGTTGATATGCTGCCGGATGCGGGTGCGGATAAAGCTGCTGAATAAACGTCGTGGTTGGAGGATAGAGCAAGCCTCCGGAATGGAACGCATCATACGGAATGGATCTCATAATTTTCGCCATATTTTTTGTATTTTCCTGATTGTTAACCATAGCGTATATGCCGCCAAATGGGTCGCATTTTGCTCATAAATTTGCTCACTGTTTTGTTTGCGATTGTGGTAGCCTCGGGGGGCCTCGGCCGTTCCGCCCCGTGGCATGCTAGATGATCGGTGCCACCGCCCAGGATAGTGGGTTACGTTTGGGCGTTTAGGGCAGCACCGATTCTGCCGTGTTCGAGTGTGTGGCATTTTTCAGTTGGTTTTTGCACGCTTCCAAATCTGGAATAAATTCCAGATTTGTTCCATTTTCGCCTTGTGGTTGTCTTTGCCGCCGTATTTCCTTTCTGGAATACAGCGTTTTCATTCGGGCTTTATGCCTTTATTGTTCCTCTTTGCTACACAATAAAGATCGTTTTGGTTGTGGCCGCGTTTGGGCACATTTCTGTGTGGCAGTCGCAGGCCACTTTCAAAAGGAATATCTTCGCCAGACTCGGCTGACCGTATTTTTGAAAATCCATTCCAAAATCCAGCCGACTTTGTGTTTTTTTCTGGCTTATGTGGAGCTAACACGCCAGCTTTTACTTCCGCCTCAATTTCATTAACGGAACGCGACCTACACAAAAATTTGCTGATCACAATTCTGTTTTCAGTAACTTGCTCATGATATGATCAGAATACGAGTATATACGTATGTAATATGTATCGTAATATCCTATAATAACAGCAGATGTATTGTTATACTTTGAAGAATATCGCTTAGTCATCCAAAAACTGCACATTAATAGTTTCTAGAGCAAATATAAGAGTAATATAAGTATTACAAACATACAGCTCTTTCAGTTGAGATTCTGGAACTTTCCGCCGCTTGTTCTTCTTGGGGTCGCCCGCGTCTCCATTTCTCTACGGCTTCTCGTTTCCCTCCTCGTCGGAAATTGTGATAAACGTTCTTTTCGACATATTTTACACTTGCAAACAACTTAGCTCAGAATACCGAGTTAAAACATTGTGCGGTTAAGATGCGTAAGTCGAAAGCACCATATTTCGATTCTCGGTATTAGATTACTGAGAGTGAGAGGTCAGGCTAATGACAATCTTTAGTACGTAAGTGGATTGAAAGAAGTTCTTCACAGTTACAAATTGCAATAACCGCAGCGTTTATTAATAAAATGAGCTGTGAGCAATACGGTGGTGGTAGCTTTACATGTGAATTTGCAAATGTTCACTGTGACGAGCGCTGAAACTGCATTACTGCATGCAGTTGTTTCGTTTAAGGCGAGAGCGAAGTTGCGATAAATGTGAACCGGAGGTCCGGAACCAGCTTCATTGAAATTGTTGTTTACTTTTTTATTTAGAAAACGCCGTGCCGTAACTAATCGTAGCAAGCATTTTATCCGGTTACGGCATTACCGTAACCAGGTTATATACGGTTAAGTACGGTACTCTTGTTACCGCACGCATTTTTTATACGGATCCTTACGGTTTGACCGTACCGTATACCGTATACGGTGATACCGTATACGGTTTGCGACCTCTACTCCATGGGCCATTAATTTCGAATGCTGCGGCGGTGAAATTATATTTCGATTGCATCCAGGCATGTTTTGTCAGTTTCCTTCTTTCCGCCGGTTCGGCTGCAGCCCCAACGTTAGCGAAGGAGCGCTTAATGTACGAAGCTGTATCGACGCACGTCATGTCCACTGCTAGCGGTTTTCCCCGTTCCCATGGTACTAGTGCGATCACATCCGTCCTCTTGTTATCTTTTGCGGATAGACCTTTCGGTTCGATTCTCGCGGGGAAACCGGCCGTCTTTAACCCGCGAGTGAACTCCCCACTAATACCGTCGTGGCGTGACAGTCTTCCGGCTAACCGCTTGCACCGGAGCCCGTGTCGTCCCAGGTCATCGACTAACCCCCCACAAACGCAAACATGGGGTGTAACAATTGGTGCTCCCAAGCGCAGCGCTACACTTATGCGGAAGGCGTTGTTTTCCAGCAGATTACCGGGACATGCTGCAGGCAGAGCATGAATCCATACTCCAGCCTCCGGAACAGATACCGCCTTCAGGTTGGCGACTTCTTCCCGTGTCGTCTTTAAAGCTGTGAAAACGTGTAAATGTCAGTTGTGAAAAGGCGTGTGCAGCCGCCGGTGTATCCCAAGCTTTTTGGATGTGTCGGAGTGCCTCGGCCGGAAGTTCGTCCTTGTTAGCCAGCGCTTTCCAGGCATGCGTAGCAGCAGTTACATCCGTAGCCGTCAGCATCGGGCATAACTTGGACATCGGCGGATGCAGCGAGGAAGCCGATGCCAAATAGACAGAGGGTGCTAGCTTCTCCGTGCGTCTGATCCCCAAACCGCCAAAGCAGACGGGTAAGGAGGCCTGAAGCCACGTCGGGTGGTCCATCTGAACGTTGGTTATGGACTCTACGGCGTCGAGGAACACCTGGTCGAGTTTGTACAGTTCCTGCGGGAACATTCATGCCAGAGAGGTACGGAGGATGTGAACAATTTTCGGCACTCCCAGGCAATTCTTTAACAGGAATAATGCTTGGTGTTTCGGAATTAACTGCAAGAAGGCCGCACACAACTCCCAGCTGGCTGATTTTCTCGTCAATCATCGGAATTACTGCAGGTGGAAGGAGAGGAGATCCAAGGAGGTTAAGTTTATCTATCCACTGTCAAAATAGTTATACCTGGGAAAAGGGTCGAAAAGCCATTAGCGGCCGATATTCGCTCTGCTTCCGTGCCTCCGCAAAGGAACAGTTCGCATTTCGCAATATTTACGGCAAGGCCGATTTTCAGGGCTTCGGTAATCAGCAGCTGAAAATTCTTTAGAACGTTCACTGGGTGGCCTCCTAATGTGCCGTCGTCCATGTACCAGGCATTCAGGTCTGCGTCCAACATATTGACAAGCAATATGTTGGACGCAGACCTGAATGCCTGCGTCCTGAATGTCTTCTGGATGTTTCCGCTGCATGAACTCAACCACATCTGGAGTCGCTTCGGCTACTGAGTCCGATGAGGGAAGAGTTCGAACGGCCCCAGTGATGTTAAAATCGTCGAGCTGGATGCTAACGCGGCGAGGAGTTTCTTCTTCGGGGGTAGAGTGCCGAGGGTTGCCAGGAACGGTGGGTTCTTCGCCATCGAGTTTCCCGCTTTCGAACGTGGCGATACGGTCACGGATGTGCGTAGTGATTGATGTTTTCCGAGACTTTTTGTTTGTTTCCGGGAGAAAAAGGATCGCGGAAGGGGCTGACAACAGTTTAAGTCACGAAGAGAAATCATTCGCTGATACAGCAATCCGCATTAACTTTGTCAATGAAATAGCAACGGAGGCGCGGGCTGCTTTCGGAATGCGCCGAATAACTTTCCTTCTGGCCGTGATAAAGATTGGTTTCTTTGGGCCCGTACAGGCATACACCTATCTATCTTAATTGCTTAGTGGGATTTGAGTTCAACCGGGGACAACCACCTAATTGCATTAGGTCCCAAAATTGCGTTCACGCAGCACACCTATGCTAACGTTAATTACCTAGCTCTTAATTGGTAGATAGCAATGCAGCCTGAACAGTGCTTTCCTATCAAAAGGTACCTTTTCGTTTGTTCCGTAGACGGTTGAAGACAAATAGGAACCACTCGAGGTTCCTATTTGTCACGGATACACATGTATTTCTGATTGAAATGCTTTCACCATGATTATGCATGACCTTAAAAAATGTTTGATCCAGGATACGACTGATCTGGCTTTTACGAGTAACAGACAAATGCCGTACTTTAACGTTTACAATCTACTAAATCATAAATGCTACCACATTTTAAAAGGTATCGTGCGTTTGTTGCATAAGCAAATCTGCATTCAATGCATAGTTCCATTTATATAATTAAAACACACGCGATAATACTGTATGTTGATCTATATGTGTGTTTGTGAAATTAGAGATCTACCGCTAGCAAAAACAATATGTACTTTTCACTGGGTTCTAAATTTAATTTGAGAAAGACCATCGGTACTGGTAAGTCTGCACCTGCAGTTAATAAATATATAGCTTAATGTGACCAGCCGCTTGATGAAGATGGAAATTTCAACTGTACTAACACCGTGGAAATATTTCGTTTATACTTTAAAGGAACAAAACTCTTTCATATTTATTTATTGCCTTATGACGTGATAGACTTTCACTGCTCTATACAATCCTCATACGTGCACCCAGTCCGTGCTTTTTTATAATTTGTTCTCGATATACTGTTAGAAATAATTGTATTAAAGCTGTGGTTACACTTTGCGGTTAGTAAACTTTCCACCTCGGCACTAGGCAGTAGGCAACCGCCCGCTGTTTCGGCAACTGGCAACCGCCCACGGTTACTGTAGGCAGCGCTATACGCATCCGCCCACTGTGACGGTAGCAAACAGCCGCCCGAGGCGGTTGAGCGGTGCAGTATGGTGAGCCGATATTAGGCGTATGGCAAGCCGAATAATTAACGAACCAACTGTCGGGTAAATATGTCGAGTAAATACGACATATGTCGGGTAAATACCGAAGTTACGAACACTGTATTGTAGCGATAGAAATTAGATGTACCGCCAGTAGGAGTGTTAATTGCCTTTCTCTACTGATTATTGGTTGTTATGTTACGAAGATCAGAATCCTAGTTTTCCTACTTTTACCGACCGCATCTCACGGTCAGAAACGTCTTGAAATTAGTCTTGCTGCAGCTTGCTCCGAATCTTGCCCTGTGCTTATGCACTTGCCGCGCCTTCCGCGCTACGCCACGCTTATGCGTTCTTGCTCCACAGCTTGCGTTGCTCGCCGAATCTTGTTTTGTGTGCTGTACTTGCTAATAAACTCATGCGATGACCTTGTGTTGTGTTGCTTAACCGCCATGGGATGATCGTGCATCTCCCATCATTGTCACCATGTAAACGGTAGTCAGCTTCCGGTCAGCATCGCTGCCGACCGTGCCAGCCTTTCCCACACTAACAGCCGACAGATCGTGGTAAGGTGGATTAACCAACCCACTAGAACAGCAGTCAAACCGGCTGCTGTTACATGGCGCTCCTGGTTTCCGAACCAACCCGACAGGATACCAGGAAGCCGACCGCCACCATCATTTTGGCAGTTGTCCTTCAGTGAGTTTTTACTGTTTCGTAATCATCGGTAGCACTGTTGCGAATTTTCAATTTTAGTGAATAATTTTGGCCAAATTAGACATTTCAATTGCATAATTCTCATTTTTGCCGCTGTTGTTTGCATAATCGTACATAACTTTCTGAGTGACTTTTGAGCAAAAATATTAACGTAAAATTTCTAAAGTACATAAACAAAATTATTTAATTAATTAAAATTGCGAATACATTGGTTGCTGTTTGGCTCTTAAAAATTGGGGAAAATCATACAATTTTGGCACTGCTAATAATTTTGCCACACACTGTCCTTTGTCTACAGTACACGTATACAATACATACTGTAGCAAAATTAGTGTATGCCATTGTGTTC